AGTGACGGAATATAGGGATTTGGTAGGTTTCCATTCTAAAGGCTTTTTAATAAATATGGCAACATTTTGTGACGTTTCATCGTTGCTGACGCGTAGTGAAGTGTTTTGAGAGTCATGTGAAGGCAACAGAACTTATGTAACGCATACGTTTTTTTTTATAGTTTTTCATTTCTCGATGCGTCCTTAATGTGTCGGAATATACCGCGTTTACCCTATCTCCCTCCATTGAGCGGTGAGCCTTCTCAGCCTTGAGCCTCTCTCAGCCCTCAGGCGTGTCTGCTTGAGGCCGCTGGCCGCATAGTGGCAAACTACAAAGCAGAGAGTTTTTTAGACACTCCCGTCTCCCTCAAGTTCATTTTTGAGTCCTACCAGTAGTAGACTAGTAAACTATCATGGAAGACATCTAGACATGGATACCATCATACCATACCAGGCTGGCAGGCTTTTACCAGCATTAAGTATCAATATACTTAATCAAGTAGAATGAAATCAAGTAAAAGTTACCATATATAAGACTTTGTAGAGTCTGAAACATAAAGAAAAAAACATTAATAGGTGTATCGAACATAAAATATGTTATATAGGTACCTATGGTAATTTTAACTTAATTTCCAAGCCGGTCAATGTTACCCCGTCACGGCTGCCATTAGGTGGTCAAAGTTCCCCCATTGGGGGGCAGCGCCCCCCATTTGTAAACCACTATGCAGAGGGTGGATGCAGCGTCGCCAATATATGGATTTTTAAGCCCAAAGCGTCGCCAGCCATTTTAAAGATGCGTCGCCAGGTAATTTTTAATGAAAAGCTATTTACGCTGAGTAATGACAAACTATTTACAAGCCACGAACTTAGTTACAAGGTTGCATGCACGTGTTACCCCAAATAACTAATTTTACCCTAAAAACAGTCCGATTGTACAGCAAGTGTCAACTGAGCATGTAATAAAGCAGTCTGACCACTCTAATGTGACCGAAACTACGCATTCGAAAAAACGTTGTTTACATTTTTTGCGGGAACTCATCGCAACTGATTTCCGGACAAGCTTCGCTGCATCGTATTCCATCCAACGCATCAGAAACCGTACTTTTTTTCTAAATAGTTGGCCGAAGACTGAGAAATATATTAAATGCAAGAATTTCAATCTAAATGTGTCGGCAAGATCTTCTGAAGGCGAAAATTTGGCTACTGAAGCGTCGCCAAAGATCTTACAATATTCATCCACTCTCTGCACAGTGGTTTGTAAACTATGACACTTTCCTAAAATTTGTCTTTTGCATATGTAACTAAAAGAGTTCTACTACAATGCATCAAAACCTGGAGTTATTTTACCAAAAAATATAAAAATTGGAGGGGGTACTCTGGCAGGCTTTAAATAATAGCTCTTTTTTTGTGGGTCACAGTATTATTTTTTTAACCTATTAGATATGCAAACTTTTTAAATCTTTCTATTGTGTTATGTAGCCTTAGTATTTGGCCTTTGATGGCCATTGACAAAATTTTTCTACGTCAAATCGTTTTTGAGTTTTGGGGGTTTTTGTTAAAAAAATGAAAAGTGGTCAAAGTTACCCCGCCGGTCAAAGTAACCCCATTTTACGGTATTGAATAATTTTACTTACATAAAAGTTGCACACTGGTGTTGGCTTAAAAATGGATTGACAGAATTTGCATATCTCATTCCAAGAAAAAATAGTGGTGGCCATTTCTGCAAAATGGGGTAATAAGGGACACCCCCCCGGGCGGGCCCGGGATAATAAGGGACACCCCTAAAATTGCATTTACAGTAGAACCTTGGTTAGCAAAGCTTCAGTTGATGAAAAAATCAATTAATAACAAAGAGCTTTGATTAAATTTACCTCACTCAGTGAAAAAAATTTCACTTAACAAAAAATTACTGCATCAGTCATTACAAAATTGTGCATAGAATGTCGTTGATAGAATTGGGAACTGAGCAACAAAGAATGAAAAGTAATTAACCTAAACTATGATTGTGTTTCTACAAAAAATGTGATGGTTGTCACTAAAATATTCCTTTCTGTTTCAGGTATATTTTTTTTACAATCTTTTTTGTTATAGTGAAATCACTTGACTCGATTAAAATGGTGTGAAATTAGCTACAAGCCGTCCTGTAAGCTTACAGATACAGAAGAAAGGCTACATGGCTGCTGAAATGAAGCTTGCACTGGACAAGGTCGTTGTCAATGCTCAATGGCATGTCCATGGATACAGTAATATCACAATAATAATATGGTAATGCATGGATAAAGTAATATTATATCAATAAATAAAAAGCAAGTAAAAATCACAGAAAATGTCATTTATTCTACATTTAGGTACATCATCTACAAAGGAAGAGGAGGACTTCAGAGTACTGTTAGTAATAGATGAGTACACTCTGCATGCTTCAAATGTCTTGAAATTTAGTTTTATTTCAAGTGTCCCTTATTACCCCATTTCCAGATTAATTCCAGAGCCTATTATATTGCGTCTAGCACCTTACAAATAGCATATGGATCTTTTTTGGAGATGCCATACGAAAGCCCTCGCAAAGACCTTTAAAATGATCCCAAACTCATTTATGAAATGTTTCATGGTAGGAAGTTAACAAAAAAGGCTCAAAGCCATCCCTTATTATCCCATTTGATGGTAGTAAATGTGTGATTTTTTAACTTACTTTATGCTAAATAGATACTAGTAAAAATGTTGAACTTTAGGCCACTATTTTTAGTTTTGCAATACTTTGATTAGTTTTGCAATACTTGATTAGTTTTGCTGCTACAACATTTCTACAAAATGTGTAACGACTGTCCTGATTTACCCTGTCCATCCCTTATTACCGCATTTGTTGGTAGGTATTACCAAAAAAATACTCAAAATCGTCATTTATTACCCCATTTGACAGTTAGTTCTTTGGCAATATTTTTTGCAGCAAACACACTTTATATATAAAACTGATTAAAAGAATTTAGATTAAACTAGTGGTATAGATGCTGCATGTTCTAGTTTGAAAATCTAAATGACTTTTACTTCTAATACCTATTTAATTCTTAGCTGATTTTTTCAGTTCTGCTGCATTATAGGTACAGATTCCCAGAGACAAAATGTTGGACGAAGTTGCCGTACCCTCAGCAGTCTCAGCTGAGTCAATCAAAATCATGGGTGAAAGCATTGGCATCTCTCCTCTTGGTGATGACGTAGCTAGGGAGCTTGCTGAAGATATCACCTACAGACTGAAGAATATAGTACAGGTTTGTCTTGGTCTAAGTTAACTGCAGCTTATTCTGCTCAATTCTCTTGATATGATACTATTTTTAAATTAATATGGTCATATATATTGACAAATAAGAATGACAGGGCTTCAAAAACTTTCCTTGCTCAAAAATGAAAAAAGTTGTTCTGACTTGTCAGTGAGCATCTGAAGCCCAGATATTGTGAAAGTCTCTAATTATGAATGATAATTTCTGATTATGAATTTTTAATCCTGTTGCTTTTTTTCAGGATGGCAAAAAGTTCACACATCATGGAAAAAGAAAAAGATTTACCTGTGAAGACTTTGATTGGGCATTGAAATCAAAGAATATTGAGGTGAGGTTTTTCATGTTTTGAAAAATACATGCAAATACCGTATCTTTTTTTGTTTAAAGGACTTTTCTTGCTTCTTAATCATTTATTTTTTGTTCAAAATTTTTTAATTCACAAGATAGGTAACCATGTATTGTCTGTGTAAATGTAGTTCTTCTCCACACTCTTAGATTGTTCAAAAATGTTAACATATTTATAAAATAATGTTCCAAATTTAAATTTATTTGAAGACAACAGCTTTATTAGCTTCAAACATTATAATCAGTTAAGGGGAGCTTTCGCCCTCAATTTTATCTTGGTAATTTACAGAGGGATCAATTTCAAATTTGGTACACATGTGTAAAAACTAAAAAACTCAGGTTTTATTTGTGTCAATTTTTTGAAAAAATTGAAAGAAAACATGAAATTCTTAGAAAATGGCCAAAAAGAGGTACTTTAGAAAACCTATCTCCTCCTAGGATCTTCAAGCTAAAACATCAAAACACATATCATTCGATGCGTATATCTACAATCTGGTCATGGGTTTTTTTTGAATTTCTCATTTTTGTGGGTGTGGGAGCATTTTGTCCAAAATTTTTCTAAATTTTTGATTTCACCTCCACTTTCCCCCCTTTTTGCAAAATAAAATCTGAACTATAACAAACTTGGAAAAAAGCCCATGACCAGGTTGTAGATCTTTTCTTTGCAAATCGAACGGTATATGTCTCATTGATGTAGCTTCAAAACTCTAGGAGGAGATAGGTTTGCAGTGAAAATAAGTGTGAATGTTCACTAGGACTCAACAAAGTCACGGGAGCATGCGAATAGGCACTAAATGTAGCAAGGATACGAAACTAAACGTTACTGGAGCTCGATTCCGCTCAAGGATGGTGGGAGCGACTGCATGCACACCTCCCCGTACCTATGCTGTCTGCTGGGTAACTGAGGTGCACTTTGTGTACACGCTCTATTTCAAGTGTTTGGTAGCTAATTACTTCCATGGGGAATAGGTAAAGAACCCCCCACCCTACCTCCCTTTTAGGATCTGTAGTGAACGTATAAATCAACGTACAGAGATGGTTTTGGTACCATTGAATGCGTCAGAAAAGCAGCTTTAAGATGGGTATAGTAACTGGAGAATGTCATAATTTGCCGCTTTACGTCAGACGATTTACTTTATAGTGAATGGCCGTGTAATTACTCCCTTGACTTTACTGAAGGGAGCCGGACACCCGCCCCCCTTTTGGGATCTGTAGTGAATGCATAAATCAACGCACCGAGATGGTTTTGGTACCATTGGATAGCTCAGAATGTCAGCTGCAAGATAAGTATTAAAACCGAAAAAGTGAAAATTTTCAATTATAGGGCGAACATCATCCTTAAGAACATCATCACTATCATCCATGAACATCAACAGTCTCACTTGCTAATGACATCTATAGGTATCAGTCATAAACAACTACAGATTCAAACCACATTGGAATCAACTATGTGCATTGTGCCCCCATTCATCCCAATAATCAATGACAGGAACAATCAAGAATAACATCAAGCATGAACAACAACTACAAGTAACTGCATAAACACTAAATATCCATGATACCAATCTCTTTACCTATGCTGTGCAGCCCATATATGGCGTGGTGAGCAGCGAGTTCATACCGTGGCGCCTGACCTCGGGCGGCGGTCGAGACCTGCACTTCCTAGAGGACCGCGAGCTCGAAGTGAGCGACATCGTGACGCAGCAACTGCCCAAACTGCCTCCTGCTGCAGCTGTTAAATGTCAGACTTGATGATATTCTAACATTGATTAAATGTTCAATTTGAATAAGGTGGTTCACAAGCTTATGGCTAATTGAAAGAGAAATTACGAAGTCAGATTGGTTTCCCCAGTAGTGTGTTCATTTGGATACATGGGATTTCCACTGAGAGATTTTTCAACAATCTGTTCATCAAACATCATCTGCAATTTATGTATACCGGTACATGTTTTGTGGAGATTTGAATTATCATGGTAACATTCTACTTCTGTTCCAGGTCATTGGCTGGCCATTGAGGGCGTACAGCCTGCCATCCCTGAGAACCCTGCTCCCATGAGCAAGAACCTGCAGAAGCAGGAGGCTGTGGATCCAGCCTCTAAGCTGGCTGCTGCTCAGGCTGACACTCGCAACACCAGGAATATCCATGGGTTCGTTCAGACATTTTTGCTAAGTTGAATCAATTAATTTTCATTAAGAGCTATTAAAATTGTTTCTGAAGCTGGAAACTGTGTGCCCAAGTTCTATAAGGTCTGTAGATGGGCAAATGGCCTGTAGGGAAAGGCACAAGATAGTATCTTGTACTTTGGAAATGCTGAAATTAAAAACGAGTGTTTGTTTACTTTTATTCGTTGTCAAAAAATGAAAAAAATTGCATGGTTTTAGTAGGGTGAAGCTTTTTATTCAAAATTAAACTTCCATATTTCATCACAATTAGCAGGGTATTTTTAAGTCCTATTTCTACAGATAACGCCGATTTAATTGTGGATCTAAACTTCAAATAACCTTCAGCTGTGTGTTAACGTAAGAGACAAGTAAAACTTTGTCTGTTCATTAATCATTTCCGGCGATCGTGCTATTTTTCAACACTATATAAACCATTTAGATGGATCTTTAATATTTTTCGCCGTATGGCTCATGTAATGACATTCGAGTTCTGTTGTGCAGTCGCGGGCTGAAGAGCGTGGAGACTGTGCGTGTGAAGCAGCTGGCCACGCATGAGCTGTCAGCCGAGCAGCAACTCTACTACAAGGAGATCACCGAGGCTTGCGTGGGGTCTGATGAGCCCAAGAGAGGCGTGAGTCTCAACACCTAATTTAGGTTTCACATTGTTAAATAATTGTTGTCCATGCGGGATTTATATTCTTGGAACTCATAGGTATTCCAGTAAGGCAACTAGGAATCCGTATACGTTGACCGGCATATTTCCGACCCTATAGATTATGGGATCTAAAGGTTTGAAAATAAATTTATGGCGAATTTAAATAGACATGATATCCTATTTTATTTAAATTCATGTTTGTTGCAAATTTAGACTGTAACTTGACACTCATTTCTTTACCAGGAAGCACTACACTCACTGGCGTTCGACCCTGGACTGCATCAGATGGTGGCTCGCTTGTGCACCTTCATTGCTGAAGGTGTGCGTGTGAATGTGGTGCAGCGTAACTTGGCCCTCCTTATATACCTAATGCGCATGACCAAAGCTCTCCTCGACAACAACACCCTCTACCTCGAAAAATATGTGAGTAGTCATGGCAACTGTCGGAAAATTTCAACAGAATTTTATAGTTCTGAACAATCCTGTGAGTTATTCCTTCAAGTATCTCTAAATGTGCAGTTTCAGTGCTGACGAGTGTTGATGTTTGTCTGTGGTTACAAGAGCGGACTTTTTGCAGCTACACGAACTGACCCCTTCAGTGCTGACGTGCATTGTGAGCCGCCAGTTGTGCCTGAAGCCAGACATGGACAACCACTGGGCGCTTCGAGACTTCGCTGCTCGTCTTATGTCCCAGATTTGCCGACACTACAACACCACCACCAACGGCCTCCAGACGCGCATCTCGCGTGTCTTCTGCAAGTGTCTTAACGTCGATAAAACGCCCCTTGCTACGGTTTATGGGGCTGTTGCTGGTGAGCTGCGTGGTGCTCAACTATGTGCGATCATGATAGTGTAGATAATGGATTACTTTGTTGGCCGCCAAGGGGGGCTGTTACTGGCGATCTTAACATGGAGTGACCGAAAGAATCTTATTTTGTTAGCGTTTTAATTTTTCAAACTTGATTTGCGTGATGTTGATGTTTGATTGGACTGTTGTTTTGTTGCTTGTATTGAATTTTTCGGGGAAATTTTCTTAGGTTAACACGTGGTTAGAATCCAATGCTTGTCTCTCGCTGTTCATTAATGGAAGTGATAAAAAACCTATTGCTTGCAATTTATTCTAAAATGCGTTCCTGACGTGCAGGGCTGTGTGAACTAGGGCCAGAGGTGATCAAAGCGTTGGTGGTGCCTAAGTTGCGGGTGCTGAGCAACAAAATCGAGCAGTGCATCGAGAGTCCCAGCGCCTATGAGAAGAACGCTGCTGTCCATATCAAGGGCATGCTTGTGGTAAATTATCTTCTGTTCTTGGTATACCGGTATAGTCTGAGAGACATATGGTTTTGATGTAGGTAATTTTTCCAAATTTTTAGTCTTGAACCGTTACTTATCGTCATTTAAGGAGTGATGGATCGACACAACATTAGGAATATTATTCTTGAAGTTTTATTGCGTTTGAGTAGGAAACAATATCGTTGCAGAAATGTTAAATCCTTTCTAATGTTTTGATTTTAACCCTCGTCGTTTAGGTACCTACGTATCTTTTCACCTTTGAAGTCCGACGAGTGTTGAAAGTGATATTTGTTGATTTTCTGTATGAACCCTTGATTAATAACTTCCCTTCACCGCAAATCCTTCCTTAGCAGCACGTAATTTTAGTACTTTCTAAGTCAACCCTATTTCATATTGGCGCTGATCTTCAACGATCGATTTGTTCTTGAGCAAGATAAGTTTGTGTTGCTTCATTTACTCAGATGATAGTTCAAGGGAACTTTTTCACTGCCATACAGGTTGAATTAACAATGTTATTTCTCTCGTATGTCTGAAAATACGTTTATGTGTGTAATACTGATCGGTAATTTCAATAATTGTTTTAAAAATGTTATCAGAAATCGGTGCCGCCGGTGCTGAAGATGAACCGTAACCCTCCTGACCTGCTCACTGATTACAAGAACGACTTCGGCTTCCTCGGTCCACTGCTGCAGGCCAGCGTCATCAAAGTATGCCTCTCAAGGGAGCCCTTTATGACCTGAGATTTTAAATATCACTTGAAGATTTATTGATGACAGTGCATTGTTTGCTGCCTTGCATTAGCCTAATCCAAGGTATCTTTATTGATACAAACAAGAGTTATTGATGAATATACTTGAATTTAACACATTTCATTTCGGAAACTGACTTCTTTGCATGCTGTTGATCATGTGGCAAAATTTACTGAACGTTTGGTTGTGAATTAGTGTATTGTGTATATTGAAATCAATATGATATTGCAAAGCCTTTCATGCACAGTCTTACTGAAATTTTGTGTCTAAAACATCTGTAAATACTTTCTAAATGGTCAACTCTCTTGTCTTCATAAGCTAAATCGTTGTGCTCGTGGACTCGCGATCAATTTTTGGATCCAATTCTTGAATCTGTTCACATGCATAGTGGCTGTGAAGCTCGAGAATTAATGTCACGCATTCCCACTCTTAATCAATTTCTATTCGGAATCGATCATAGTTGAAACAATAGTGTGTATAATTATTACTATTTCTGCTATCTAACTCAGAATTATCAATATCTCTTACCAATTGGAGATTGGAGATTCATATCATATAAGTTATTTCTCAGATATGAAATATAATTCCGATTATAATAATGATAATTTATCGCGTTTTCAGTTGCGGCAAACGCCCGGTGTGGGGGGCGTGGTGGTGTCTGCCCCCGCTCTCGCCCCCACCCTTCGTCCCCTGTCCACCCCCACCCCCACCAGGATACTGCATCAGAGTAAGGCGTATGAATGATTATTGTGTTATGTCACCGAGATTATAAGAGCAAAGAAAACGCCATTTAAATGCACCGCATCTTCATTGAAAACTTTTTGAGAATAAATTCTGTAATCTGTTCGAAAATTTAGTGAAGCACAATTAGCAAAGGAAATCTAAATTTATATACACCAAGTGATTTTAACCTAATTAACAAGAAATCTAAACCATAACATAACAACCTTAAGATTAGAGATGCTAAGAACTGTAAGCGTTACTCAGACAAAGCTTTCATGTTGAAATATGCAGTACTTCAAAGTATTTAAATGTGAAGCACAAGAAGTGGAAGCGAGTGTCTTGAAATGCTGGATGCTGGTTGTGATATATTCTGCTGGAAATGCTGATCATGATAGAATATAGATGAAGCTAGATCCTGTGTATTGTAATAGTGCACGTGAGGACGTATCCCAATTTATTTTCTCAAAGAATGGATGTTCGTATTCAATCTATAGGAATAATTCCTCTCCACCAAGTGTCTTCCATGTTGCACAATATTTCCATAGAAATAATTGTGGCGATGCCTTATTAATAATGCTTTTAGTTCACATAGAGATCGATGATTATATTTTCTAATACATGTTTTAATAGAAACACATTAAATGAGGGAATAAAAGTAAGAATGAATATAGTTTGAAACTGCATGAAATACCTACAAAAATTAGCATTAATTAAGGGTGTTTTGTGCAGGCGTGGGAGGCGTGGGTGGCAGAGCGCTTGTGGTGGGCAGCGGGGGGCAGGTGACCACTACGGGGGGTGTGGGGGTGGCGCCCTCGCCTGGCCAGAAGCTCATCATCATGACGTCCAGGACGCCTGGCGTCCAGGTGGGTTAGAGGACGGCGCGTGACGTCCAGGACGCCTGGCGTCCAGGTCAGTTGGAGGGCGGCGCGTGACGTCCAGGACGCTTGGCGTCCAGGTGAGTTGGAGGGCGGCGCGTGACGTCCAGGACGCCTGGCGTCCAGGTGAGTTGGACGGCGGCGCGTGACGTCTGCCAATTGGTAGTGTCGTGGCCGCTGGCACCATGGTTGCACCATGGTTCTCATGTTAACCCACGAGAAGCTCGTTTTCGCGGATGTAGTTTGTTGTTCATGTGACGTCACTGATCTCAAGGACGTCACTTAGCGCAGTGACGTCACGGGGGCATTAACCAATCACCGAAATGCGATCAAACCAGTCACCAATTTGTCATAAGAATGACGGGATTGTTTACGTTTCTCGATCTGAGTGACGTAATAAGAAAGCTGAACCGAAAGATAAATATCCTCGTGAATCTACCTTATATAGTTCAACCATGGACACTGGCACTGTCATCATCGATTTTTTGCAATATTAATTTGCCATATAAGTCTAGTAGCTCCAGTTACCGCCCCCAGTTCGCGGCACATAGTAACCGTGCGCAGTTCTTTTTGCTTATCAGTTGCGCAAGGCGATTGTGTTATGGAAACCAACAGTGCCCAGCGTTGCGTGGAAGGACATGATGTCTTCCACTAATCACGTAGCCTCCAACAACTCTGCCCTATTGCTTTATCGGCTGCCAGTCACAAAAGCCAAAACCTAGTCACAAAACACAAAAACTAGTCACAAAAGCTAAAACCTACGTAGTCATAAAAGCCAAAACATGTGTTTGAATTAGGTTAACCCGCCTCCAGCAAAGATGCCGGGAATAGTGTTGCCCGGCATCGCCCGCCAGCACATAAATTGTACAATCCAACCAAACTGAGTGCGTAGAAGCGTTTCAGCATTTATTTTCCACTCCAACAAGCCACCTGGATTCACACTTTGCATTGAATCAGCCCGCTATTGAATGGCCTTTCGTCGGACGATGGATTTTTGAACCTAACTTTACCATCTGAAACCTAAAATCGGATGCTGTGAGCTGAACGTTACGTAATATATTTGATCGGTGGTCTGTATTTGCAAGGCAGGTTTCATGCAACGCCCACGGAGAGCTAAGCTGATTGGTCGCATTACGTCGTGGGCTTGCGACAGTTCGAGCGCTGTCAAGGCAATGAAGTTATGCTTCGATGAAACGTTTACTTTTTGATAGTTACTGCACTCTAGGCTATTCGCTCCTGTGCTTGGAGGTGTTTGTATGTAAAACTCATAATATTCAAAACTAAATGATGTTGTGGGCTGATTACTGATGATAGGCTCTATCCGCGGCTGATAGGGGGATTTACTAGGCGTTTCATTCAAGGCTGATTGTTGCTCAAAACTGGTGGGGCACGTCTGCGCTACCGCAGATACCAGTGAATTGTCTAAAAAACGGAATTTGCATGCATTTTTCATTAAAGCTTCTATTAGTTCCATTTTGACATACTTCATCATAGCTTGTCTAATTTTTCTTGATTCATTACGCTTTAATTTGATGCTTCCTCCCTACAGCAAGGGCTGGATTCCCCTCAACTGGTGAGCGCTCAGCTGCCCTTGGGTGAAGGCAGCGGCGCGACGATCTTAAGTCCGACTTCGACCGCGGCGGGCGCCGCACTGCCGCCCGGTGCCAAATATGTCCTCGTGAAGACCGAACCCACGGACGACGAGTACGGCATGTGAGGACGCGCCCGTGCTGCCTCAGCGGCGGCACCAGCAGTGACAGCAGCAATAACAACAACAACAACAGCTGTAATTACTCGGTCTAAGAGGCGGCGTAAGTAGAAGAACAACAGCAGCTGTAATTACTCGGTCTAAGAGGCGGCGTAAGTAGAAGAAGAACAACAGCTGTAATTACTCGGTCTAAGAGGCGGCGTAAATAGAAGAAGAACAACAGCTGCTGTAATTACTCGGTCTAAGAGGCGGCGTAAGTAGAAGAACAACAGCTGTAATTACTCGCTCTAAGAGGCGGCGTAAGTAGGAGAACAACAACAGCCGTAATTACTCGCTCTAAGAGGCGGCGTAAGTAGGAGAACAACAACAGCTGTAATTACTCGCTCTAACAGGCGGCGTAAGTAGGATATGGAACTGAGCATAAGAAACTACAGCTTTGCTCATACGGTTTAGAAACGTGTTATTGGTGAGGAAGTGGAACAGCGAAAACTGCTTATTCAAGCCTGTTCACTCTGAACTGCATGCATGGAACTAAAGGTCTCTATAGCAACTGACTGACAATAAACGTATTTAACCCTCGATGAAGACGTTTAGGAATAAAAATTAAAACTAACGGATCGAAGTAAGTAATTAGAGGTGTCAGTAAAGAAAACCTTATTTTTTTTTGTTGGTTCGATGAGGTCTGCTAAGATTGTCAATAAAAGATTGTTAATAGAAGGCTATAAGATAGTTAATGAATAGTATGCTCTGATCTTTAATCGAACTTGCATAAGAGAAAGGCATCTGCCGAATTAACCCAATGTTCTAATGCATAGAGGAGAATAAATATTCACGACTGAACGCATGTGAATCGTATGTTTCCGAATTCCATTATCATCCGTTGGTTGTTTATACCGTAAAATTAATGAATTATGCGACTAGATAAGAAATTATTCCAGATCGAGGAGAATGGATACCCCAAGTTTACATTTTGTACGTAATTTCTACAGTGGAATAGCGATCTAGTTTGTATCCTCATTGATCTTAGAGTACCTAGTTCCAGGTAATTCAGTAAATTAGCTCTGCTCTCTTAGATATCATCTGTTTTAAATATTAGCGGGTAAATAAATGGCTTCTAATATCTATACCATTCGGGAAAACGTGTAGTGCTTTAAGTTTGGTACTGACAGACTTACGTGCGCTGTTGGCTGGAGATGTATTACTTTGATTTTGGGACCAGCGATAATGAGTCTGCTGTTGTTTATTGTTTACTGCTGTTGCTCCTGGTGTTGCTGTCACCTAGTGCTAACTTTATTTTATATTGATTTACTCTTAAGTTTCATATTTATTATTAACTTTATACAAATGTAATAGATCTCGCTTATATGTTTTAGCTTGCAGGCTAAATGGCCTACGATCGGGCGATTAACACCACACTTAACATGGATCACTCTAGAAATTTCGATTTAAATAACACTTTTGTCGTTACCTTCTGTCAGTTGTCGTTAACTGTGGTTGCTGGGGCCGTGCTATCAAAATGTTTTTCAAGTACACGTAACGTTTTAAATGCACGTAGCTGTCAATTCATCGTTTGTGATTGGCTGACATAGTTACGAACTCTTGATTCTTTTTTATAGTAGGTACCACCCAAGGATTATACATACGAATTAGAATTAACTGCGTTGAAGTTGTTAGTTGACAAAGAGTCAACTAGACTAGCACTTAACAGTCTCGAACAAGTGAGACTCTTTACAGTATTTAAAGTCTCACTTGTTGAGACTCAACAGTCTCAACAAGGGGGCAGATCCAGTTACCGTCAACTGTATGAACGACTAACGTCCAAGGATGAAAAAAGGGCAGCAATTGTTCTTCATCTGTTGATCATTATATTCGATTGGGCGCTGTATATAATGTCAATACTAAATAGGCTCAGCTAGACTTATTTATTCTCATCTGTACATTTTGTATTATTAGCGAATGTTTGGGTCATCCCAAAATTAAGTGCTTGTCTTCAAATTAGAATTATTTCACATTAAATTTCGAGGATGCTGACTCAAATACACGTGGAACTAATTGTGTTTTTCTTCTTTACCTTGTTTTTGAGTGCGAGTTACTTAACACTTACTTAATTTCATCGTTCACGAAAACTAGCTTCGAAACCTAATCCGGCTTGGGCCAATGCGCATTGCTGATGAACAGGTTAGACTAGTGGGCGGCTTGTTAAGTGATGTCATACAGAGAGAGCGCTAGTCAAGATACTTTCGACACTCCAGTTGAAAATTGGAACCTGATAGGAGATTTTGACAGTTTATTCACGGCTAATGAAAGGCTAATAGATATAATAATTAATCTTAAATTTGCATCGCTAGTCGGAGAAATGCGTGAAGCGAAATACCGCAATCAAAACATACGAATCTCAACTCAACAACTCAACGTCTGATTGCCTAAAGACAGCTGAGGAATATAACTTTTTTTATTCATTAAAGTATTTTATTAGTCGGAAATGCTACAGATATAGGTGCATATAAAAAAGACATTAAAAATGGAAAGTTGCTTAACTCGTGACTATATATCAAAACCGTTATGGATCTGATCCTTTGATAATGATTTGGATTTAAGTTACCCCAAATGGTGGCTACATTTATCAAGCTGTCGACCTATCTGGGGTTTGTTACTCTTCGTGCATGATATGAAGGTAGCTGAGAAATTTCGATTTATCAAACAACTCCTCAATTTTTCAAAGCGAAAAAATATGTAAACAAAATTCGAAATACGTAAATATTCACTACTTGCTGAGCGCGCCAAGGAGCTTCTATAATAATTAAGTAATTTAAATTAACGCAGTTTCTTTTAAACTTCCAATATACATTAGCGCACATGATCAGCGGTAGGAAACGATTTGAACGAAGCTTTCTGCGTACAGGAAAATTGGTCTCTAAATTCTGAAGTCTTTGACGTGGCGGCACAGAGTTTCCAGTCGGCAGCAGCTCGGCCTGTCGACCGTATGGTTGTGGCTAAGATGTAACCCTGGGAATAATATATATTTCAAAGTGTCGCCCGTCTCGAACATGATAAAAAGTAACACTTCAATATAAATGGAAAGATCAATTGATGTGTTTCTGTAGAAACATTAATCTACCGATCTTTCGTTTCTGCACAAATAACATTAAAAAATATTATAATTGAGGATAAAAATGCCAGTAAAGCTCGTTACACCGTAAGTACAATAGCATGATACAAAGCTACATTTTCGTTTCGTACTTTTCTGAACGACTTTATATGTACCAGAACTCTCGATCTTTCCCAATAGTGCGAATCTTTCAAAACACATTTAATTATTGCATGAAAATCGTTTTTTTCAGATTCATTCTATATATGTACATGGAATAGATAGATATTTGTTATGCAACTTTCAAGTTTGATATAATAAAAAAAATCATCCTTAATGCAAAAGCATCAATTACGACTAAACAGTGATTAATGTAAAAATACCTGATTAAATATCCGGTATTAATATAACTCGAAGCATTTTTAAATTTCCAGTCACATCACATCATTGACTTGAATTATGTTGTGGGTGTTTCATTGCTTTACGAAGGTGTTTTGTTGATATCTTCGGCGTTTTGACTGATGTGGTGGTGCACTACATCTATGTATTCAAGTAGCGTAAATCATATTCGTATCGCAGGCGCATTGTCCACTTTTTAGGAGTATTCTACTTCCGCGATCAGCTGGTGGTTGCCGGCAGTCTTCACTAACGACAAAATGTCATGCCATTCTCTACAGCTCCGAAATGCCCATCGTCAGAAGCGACTAACGCATGAAACATAAACGGCTGTATTTCCTATTACTCATAGAGCGATCGTATTTTGTCGTGATTATCAGCACAGGTGTTTGTGTTAAATGTGTTTATATTAATTATTAATTAGCTATTATTAAATGTGTTTGCGTTAAATGTGCATATGCATGCAAGCAATTGAGTATATACATGTTGTATGACAGTAGAAGCAAAAACCGGGCAATCATACATCTGAGAGTATAAAATTTCCAAAGTATAACTGAATTTACAAAGATACTTAAGATCACACGTCTCCTCCCTATATTCAAGACTGGATTTCATCAGCTTCGTTCATAGCGTGCTTACCATGCGTTATTTCTACATGAATCTGATTATTGCTCTAGGATACGAGAATCCTACATAATTGGTTAAATGAATGCATAGCTTTGAATGGTACAAGCGCGAGGTGAACGAAGTACCGAAATTCAACTGAACTCAATAATGAACTATTCACAAAATCTTTGTGAATTACAAACTAAAATAATTATAGTTCTGAGAGTTTCATTTTAATTCGATTGGTCAAACATGGAGTAATATGCTAATATTATCATTACTGTAATTAGGAGCCGGGCGGGCTTGATCATCTCGACAGCAGCTGTGGTGTCGTTGATGCAATTGGCTTTCATTTCACCCCCACCTTCATCTTCATCTTCACTGGATGTCGGCCGTCAAAGTGAGAAATCCCAGCTATTAATTACCTTGCAATCTGTTTCCTAATATTTATCAGCAAAATAGCTACTAACATTTTCATTTAAGTAAATAAACAAAGTAAAAGAATGTTGCCGATTTTCCATTTCCAGCCTACTTGGAGAAGGCCTTGCGCGGCCCCATAGCTCAAGACGACCCTCTGCTGCTGGAGTGGATCCTGGACAAAACCGCGCCCCCCTCGCGGGAACCATACAACCTTAATTATTTCTTCAGCGGACTGTCGGATGAATTCAACTCTTCCAACCCGTACAGTCCATCACAGGAGTTCATCTTGGAACATATTGAGAACTTCTTCGGGGCTCAGGTGGGGAAATTATTTATGTTTTCGGCATGTAATTTATCCAAAAACTGCCGTGTAGACCGGTTTTGGTAGTAAATGTAAAATGACTCATTCGTGGATTCGTGGACATAATCAACTTTACTACACCGTCACTTTACTGTAATGGAACGAAGAGCTTTACTAGCGACGTGTGCGAGGTCAATATTTATTCGTTCCTTTTTTTTTTTGTTCCTCATTCTGGTGAACAATCTTCTTGCTTTATCTACGCCAATATGCAAATGGCTGCACTTCGGGAATATTTCTCGGAATCGATCTGAAAAATTCGCATTTAGCTTTTGCAGTAATTATAATAATATATGCCGGAATGAGTAGCAGAATTTCCTCATCTCGATCGCAATATTGAACAAAGAATAACAATATTGCAAAGTGTTAGCTGTGCTTAATTCAATCTGAGTTCTTGAAATCTTTCAAACATTGCACGACATCTTGTGCCATTTCGCTCGTACCGGGCGCTGTTCGAGCAAAAGTAACTCGTGACATTTACTTTCTATTTTACTTTCTATTCTAATGCTGTTAGAAATGAGTCTCATGTCAAATTGACATGGGATTTTGATTACAGGACTCTGGATAACTGAACTCTGTATAACAGGGCTCGTGATAACGGGACTCGTAATATCGGGACTCGAAATAACGAGGCTCGTGATAACGGGACTCGTGATAACGGGACTCGAAATAACAGGGCTCGTGATAACGGGACTCGTGATATCGGGACTCGGAATAGCCGGAATGAGGATTCTGAGGACTCTGGATAGCTGGACTCTAGATGACAGAATTCTCAACTATCACGGAAAATAATCACCTATCACTAGCAACGCCAGGTTTTACCTGCTATTGCTGCATTTGCGATAATTTCATGCGTAGTTTAGATCAATTGCTCAATTGGAGGCCATGTAACTCCCGTAAACGATATAAGTGATATCGCTGAACGCTCATAGACGCTTATTTAATTAAACGCGTCTGCAGTGTCAGTGACGTGAGAGCTTCGCCAGAATTTTTTCGACGAACAGGTATTAGCGAGGCTTGCTCATATTTCAATTGTGATATGATCTTCATTATTAACGATACAATGCTACCAAATGCTGTACGGTTGCAGAAACTTTCTACGCTTGCTGTAAGTGCTATGCAATCGCAGAAACATCCCGCTATTGCTGTAAAATATTTTACGGTCGCAGAAATTTCCTGCGTGATCGTTGCACCTGTACGTTGATCGTCCATGTTAAACATACATCATGTAGGGTTGTTATAGACGATGTTATATCTTTGCAGATTAACATGCCCTTCGTGTTCGTGGAGGCTGGGGCGTACGACGGAGAGTTCCTCTCTAACACCCTCATGCTGGAGAAGGAGCACGGCTGGCGAGGCCTCTTGATCGAACCTAACCGGAAAAGCTTCGAAAAATTGCTTGCTAAACACCGCAAGGCGTGGGCCATCAATGCTTGTCTCAGCACCAATCCATTCCCGTCGCAGGTGCCCAAGCCTCGCTCGGTCTCGACTGAAACGCTTAGCCCAACCGCCTGGGTCGCTATAGTTGACCTATGGTTGTGCTCCGGTCAATGAACCATGACCTCTATAAAAAAATATTGAAGATCATCGTGTTTGGTATATTTTTCTTGATGCACTATAAAAATGCTCCAAAATTTGATTTTCAATGAGTTCTGCAGATTTCACATTGAATGTCTGCTTAGAGGATTAGTTTATTCAAAAATATGAAACCACTTGTTTCAAAACATGTATTGTGGACCTTGTATTAATTGCACTTGTAACATTTTAGTGTTACGAACATGTTCATTTATAGGCGTTTTAAGATACAACATTTGGTCATCCAATATTTAATGCAATTACCGTTATTTCAGGAATCATTCACAACAGTGGAAGCGAGCGGAAAAATTGACTTCATTGCAAACGCGATTCCTGGGGCGAAGCCTGGGCCGAACGGCATGAACGACACCGGCAAGGCGTCTTCTCGCCTCTCCAGGTTCTATAACTATTCTGATGACGTGAGTGAGGGACTTGAATTATTTACTTGAGTAATCAAACATGCCCCCCCCAACTTGCCATGATGAACTCCGCGATGTCACATAAACAAGACATATTCACTTATTTGTCTTCACCAGCGGTGAAAGTGAAATTGAAGTACACTAATGCAAATTGAAAGTGTGATTACTGTGAAGTTAATTTAGTATCAAACCAAAAGCCTTTTCTTTTTAATTTCTGATGTTCAATTAAAAAGTGACGGATTGAATAACTGCTTATTCTGCTAACCCTAGCAAAATATTTTCCTATATGATTTCCATTAGTGAATTTTTAAACTCCAATTACGTCCAAATTTACAATACGTTGCCGTCTAACATCGAGCCCCAAACAGTGCTAACAGATAGCCCTAAGATTGTTACAATCATTTGATTAATTTGTGCAACCCGAAGCTTTAATTTCATCTGCCAAGCCTTCATTTGGGTTTAAGTCCATCATGTCCATGAAGCGTGCTCATAAAGGCTCATCTTGAGAATTGTGTTCAGACGTTGAGACCAGCAGGCCGGGAGACCGTGCAGTGTCTCCCTCTCTACTCCATCACCCGCGCCCTGAACATGAACCACATCAACTTGTTCTCCCTGGACGTCGAGGGCGCTGAGATGGACATACTCAAAACTATACCGTGGGGCGCTCTTACATTCACGGTGAGAAAGAGGATTTTGTTCTCGATATCGTATAAATATCGATTTGATAGGAGTGTTTTTAAGCCTAGAGTTTACGGGAGAGTGTTTTGCTCATCAGGCAACTGGTTCGGCGGACTTTAAAATAATCTAGATTTTAAAGAAGTCCGAAACTGTTGTTGGATAAAGTATTGTTCCTTGGGGCGCTATCACATTCACGGTGAGAAAGAGGCCTTTTCTTCGGTCTCCTATAAAACATCGGTTTGATATAAGTGTTTTTAAGACAAGAGTTTACGGTATCGTGTGTTGCTGATCAGGCAACTGGTTCGGCGGACTTTAAAATAATCTAGATTTTAAAGAAGTCCGAAACTGTTGTTGGATAAAGTATTGTTCCTTGGGGCGCTCTTACATTCACGGTGAGAAAGAGGATTTTCTACGATATCGTATTAGAGAATCAGTTCGATATACCTAAGTGTTTTTATGACATCTGTTTACGGTAAAGTGTGTTGCTGATCAGGAAACTGGTCCGTGGAATTTAAAATAATCTAAATTTAGAAGAAATCCCAAACCTCAAACTGTTGTTGGATCCAGTATGGTTCCTTTTATTGACAATCAAAGAAATCTTCACTTGAAAGTCATCGGACTACTAATGAAATCATTTATGCATGAAGCATTCCTTGTTTTTAATTGTTCAAAATTCCTAACAGCTTAATAATTTGTCGAATTTAAGAGATATTCTAATTTTTTCCATCAGATGTTGGTCATAGAACATATTCCAGGAGATACGTTACTGGTAGAGTTCATGGAATCCAAAGGCTATGCTCTCATAGCCCATCAATATCCAGACTATATCTTCGTCGTCAAGACTGCAGTCAAATTCCAACTTCCAATCTCACCAGGAAACAGACGCAAGAAATTCTGGAAGACATCAAAAAAGTTATTATGATCTGGAAAATAGCTTCGCCAATAAGAGTTACGTCATCGAAGTGAACTTCCATGGGAGAAGTTGTTAAGTAGTCGAGTGAATCGTCTAAGTTGTGTCAGGAATGAGATTTTTAATTTAATTCAATTTCTACAATTAAATTAAGTAGCCAAACAAAAAAAAAACATTTAAATAATTATTGAAAATTTAATCACCAAAATGATGAAAGATTCTCATGTCCTTATATAATGATCCAGCTTTTGATCGACATGGAGGGCTGTGAGGTGAACCTATAAATCAAAAATGACTTAGTCACAAATCATGACCGCTTCACTACTATATTCCTCCGCTATAATTAACTGCATCAATTTATGTCTATCTTATGAAAATTTAGTTAATATCTGACCAATGTTATAATTATACATTGAAAAATGTGTTGTTTTTAATTCATCGTGTAACATGCAAGATCATAATTTGAAATCGGTAAAACTAAAACTAATCACGCCCTCGGTATGCTTATTTGCTAGGCGTCGATAAAGCCATTGTTTAGATTGTTATTGGAATAGCTTAGTAGACACAACAGGTAAAGGGATCGCCGCTGCAATCGTTTCTGAGTTCCATGATAGCATTATGAATATAAACTGATCAAATATTATCTTTATTGGGACTTCGATATTGAGTTGAGTCCACTCAAACTCAGCGAGATGAGGGGACTCGCGTTTATAAAGCCTTATTGTGCATTATCTTCTGTTTGTTTAGTATAATCGTGCGAGAGTTCGTATTTTCAGAGCCGAGGAACATAATATGGGAGCAAACATGTGGATTATAGACTTGGACTCGATTGAGTGTTGTTTTTTAATAGCAGTTTCATTTGAGTTTAAGTGTCGAGCATAAATAGCACAACAAATCAAGATAACATTCATTGCTTTTTCTCGGCGTTAGAGGGGCTATTATTTAATTATGATGTAAATTATTCTGGATCTGCCATGGGGCGGGACCAGGGGAACATTTAATCTAAAATTATTGTAAAATTCCCAATCACCTTAATCACTATGAATAAAAAATCCTTAATATTAGTTGATTGGTCACTGATAGCTTCATTACTTTGCATATTAAAACATAGCTGCTGTTCGTCCGATGACTTTGTAATGTAATATATTGGACGTTCCAACACTCGGCTTGAATTTCTACGCGAGAAGCAAAAATTACACAGGGTAAATTTGATAATGTAACCCAGTTATTTTAGTTCATATAGTTTAAAAAAGTAATTCCACAAGTAACATTCTTTTTGTTGCAATTCACACTCTGTTATTACCAGGAAAATACCAAACGCGGCAACAGAGAATTTTTAGGACAGTGGTAGTTAATTCAATGCCAATTTTTGTACATCACTTGTATTCCGTCGTCAGTTGAATTGATCCATGCTTCAAATAAAAAACCGCCTGCATATCAATAATCAAAGTAAAGTATTAAACGGAGCACAGCATGTAAAACTAAAGCCAGACGTTGATGTAAACATTGAACGGGGTGATGCTATACAGGCTTTTGTCCTGTTCGTCTAATGTCATGGCTTGTATGTGGCCGAGAATAGTCTTTTATACATGAGATGGCTTTAAAAAGTTCGTGGACAAACAAAAGTTTGAAAAATCTATCAAAGTAATACGGTTTATTATCATACACATGCTTATCTAGGTCAATGCATTTCTGTGAACGCTGATATCAGCCCATAAGTACATCTGTGTATAAACGCTCAGATTTTCCTTTGACGATCCCCCTTCCTCCCCTGAACAGCCGCTGATTTGATTGAGTTTTGTCCTCGGCATTGTACTGGTAGGGCCATGTTTCATCCCGGTCACAATCCGCGTAAGAAAAAGTTTCGGTCGCTCATCCCACTTATGCAAAATTTCCTTATAAAGATATGCCCTTGATTCTTGCTGATCTGGGCGTAACAGCCTGTTAACCCATCGAGCAGAGGGCTTGCTCAGTGCCAAATGCCCACCAGAATTGAATGTATGGAACTCACGGAGATGTTGAGTGTCTCTGCTACTAATTCGTTAGTTATTCGCCTATATTTCTCAATGAGATCACGAGCAGCATCAATGCTTTCTCCATAAACTGATGTGAGTGGCCTGCCTCTGCAGGGGTCATTTTTGGTTTCATTTCTTTTGCTCCCGGAGCAACTAATCCATTTGCTGATTTTGCAGGTTGTTGATTTTTTCGTGGCACTGACCCCATAAACTTGTTCCAGAGATTCAATGATTTGCTGTTCTTCCACCCAAGCTTTACCATGAAATTGATGTTTAACCTGACCTCGACTTCGGCATCTGCGATGTTGCTTGAACGATTGCTGCTTTTAAAATAGCGCCTCTCTTCTGTGACATTAATTCAATTTTGACCATGAGAAAACTCGTTCTAAAGCATTGATAATTGTGTTCAGCTATGTCCATTTTCCACGGACTTTTAGAAGCCCCTCGTACGTACGGCATCTCGCAGCTCAATAAATAAGACATCTAAGAAGTATTGTTCACCATGCAGAATGAAATTCATTTAGTATTAGCTCGTTACATGAACTCTTTATGTTAGTTTTGATTAATAACAATGAATTGGTCAAGTCTATGTATTCTTCAAAGAAAGTGATTGAAATTAGCTGTTTATTCATCAGAGTCTTTTAGTTTTTGAAAGTTTCAATAAATGGAAAGGAGGTACATATTTGAGATTATTTTTACAAAGCTTCTTATGCACGTGGAGTTGACGATCGGGAAGATTGCTTAAAAATTGTTTATCGAAAATTAAATATTTCAAGGAAGGCACGGCTTTAGATTTTGTGCATAATGCCCAGAAATTCTGTTATTTATGTAATTATTATGCGATTTAAAATTATTAATTAATGGATCCTCAACTTTTTATGACTTAGATTTTTACTGAGACACTATTATGATTCATAATTTCATGTAGTTTTTCACCGTGAGTCATAATTAATAAATATAACTGCGTTCAATATAAAGATCCCAAATATAGGAACATAAATATAGAAGATTTGGCCAATTTTTATGATTACAACTTAATTAAATTCTGCTCAAAACATGAACAGATTCCATGATTTAATTGATCAACAATATAAAAATATCTTCACTGGAATCCCTTAGATTAGACTGGAAACTATTGAAATGTGTAATTTAAAATAAATTATTGTGTGTTTGTGCATTGAAGACGAAGAAAATATTTTTACGAGTTTTCGCCCTACAGTTTTTACAAAGTAAAAATAATAACTGGACGAATTGGTCATCGTGGGCATGCCGAGAACCGCTAAAGGGAGAGACAAGCCTCATTCAGTTTCAATAGAACGCCAGTGCACTAATTAAGCCATGAAGTCAAGCCTATAAAATTAACATTTTGCCAACCTGACCGCAAAATTGACTTCTGACAATCTTTGAAGAAGCTAGGGCTGAGTTTGGTCCAGTAAAACAGCGTAGGCCTATCACACTTACGTGTAGAAAATATGCCACTATTTGGCATCACACCTTGATTTTATGGGTATATATTTCTGACCGATATATCAATTATTCAAGGAATGTGCGGAATGTTAGAATATTTTAACCTGAAATGTTACCTTAAAATGAAATATTTTTGATATTTTGATGGCTAAGGCCCACCTATTTGGGCGAGTTTCGATAAAAATGCAAACCAGAAATTACAAAACAAAATTACGAAATCGTTTTGGATTTTCATTAGTGGTGATAAACTCAAATGGATGAAACGAAAAACTCGCTTATGTTTTGAATTTTTCACGGTTAAAATATGCGGGAAATATTCATAAAACACTCATAATATTTGGAACATGTGTGTTTTTTTGCTGATTTCAACCATTTCTGCAGATTTATTTTGCTCATCTCTGTAAGCTTAATCTGGAATAATGAAATTAACTTCCGCGTGTTTCTTAACGTCTTGCACGCACTTTATCGCTTATAGTTATTAAATATAAAACAAATAGGCACAAAAAATTATTCTTTTGAAGTAGCTTCTTGCTGATGAAAACTTGGTTGAGAAATCAAACAGTCGCCGGCATGGGGAGGAGGGATGCTTGCCATGGCTCCACGGAAAAATCCTACAAATTGTGTAGTTTCTTTCCGGTTCCTGGCAACTAAAGTAGGAGTAAAAAATTTGAATGAGACCTGAGAAATAAGCTCATTTTTTATAAATGTTCAGTACATTTTTTTGGTTACTTTATTGTTGCAGCTCGAAATTTCTTCAACAGAGACTAAAATGTCAATAAACTTGTAGCGACTTAAATATGAATTTTTTATAGTAGGCCTATTTGAATTTTAAATTTTATTATAAAAATTCCCCAGGATTAATTTAACGTAGAATCTCTAATGTTCACAGAATATTCGAATTAAAAGCTTATCATACATTATATAATGTATGATTACAATTATACATATATAATTTTAGTTTTATAAATATTGAATTCAAGTTGCAAATTTCGACCTCCCTTGAAATTAGACCACGTCGTCGTGTATACTCTAGTTTTACACGCACAGTTGTCAGCTCGCCGCAACGCACATCTGCTTCAGAAAAAAAGGCCCTCGCAGTTTAGTTTTTTGTCAGCATGCTTCCGTCGGACGATGATATCCGCGATAACATCATTTGGACGAGTCCCAGAGAATACCAACGGGCCATTTAGAGGGGTCGGGACGAGCAAACTTCAGCGTTTGCGGAAAATTCTTTGGCGGGCCGCGTCGGTGTTTTCCGCTCGACGATATTACGTAGCGCTTTGCGGTCCGCACTGCCGGATGTTCCGTGAAAATATCACCAGCGTCTTGCGGAGGATGTTTCCGGAGCGAGGGAGAGACAGACTAATGGCCGGGTAATGCGATCATGTTTTGTTATGACCCAACCATCTCTGAGGTATGTTTTTTAGCGTGTCTTTTATATGGCACTAGCATGCATTTTCGGTATTATTAATTTCTTAAATGTTGTATGTCTTCAGACTGCTTAGACGAAAATTCCCAAAGCAAATGATTGAGGTTGAAATTTTTACCATCAAGCTACCATGAACAAACATTTGTTATGTGAATGGCCGTCACGTGTGTCTGTATTGTTATCTTTTATCTGAAATTTGGGAAAATCGACATAAATTACACTGGTATATAGGTACTACTTTTACTAACTATTTTATGCACGAGAAACCCTCTATTCATGAAATTAAGTCTCAACTTTATGAAGATAATACTCAATTTACAAATATTAACAATTTGGACATATTTTGCTGTGCCAAATAAGTGCGCTCTATTAGCATTGCTTATTGTATGTTAAAGGCTCGTTTCAAAATCTATCAATTACTGATTCCTGGGAACTTAAAAGCCCAGCGTGTTCCTCAACAAAAGAAAAATTCCCATC